CCTCCCTGCCAGCTGTTGGGTGCATGCATGCCTCCACCCTCACACCCGTCCACCTCTGCCTCCTCCCTGCCTGGGTCCACACAGCCAATCGCCACCTGCCCTCTCAGCGGCACATGCGCAGTTGACCAAAAGTGTTACGGACAGATAGATAGACTAAGCCCTTTATTATATTAGAATAGAATAATTAATTATCAGTTGTTTCTTGAAATATCAACATTTGAGATTCCTGATAAGCACTGATCTACCATACCTGCACTTCTGTAGCTCAGATCCCCAAGAATTTTGTCTCCTACTTTTCTCAGTTTCCAATGTTGTCTCAGTCTCAACAGCTCAGAGTTGAAATCTCTTTGCCGCTTATTTTCCTGGTTTTCTGCTACTGATTTGGATAACCTTTCTGCTCCTTTCAACAGGATTTGTGCTGCTCCAGCTAGTGACTTCTTTTTTGAAATCAACTGTAAAAACTGAGGATTCTGGAAACATGAAAATAAACATTGAATGGAAGTAAATATTTATGGGAAAAACATCTTCAAAGCAATCATTACTAGAAATTGCTGATGGTAATGCAAAATGCTGGTACTTATTTTTGCTGGCTGTTCAGTAACTTATTTAAAAAGAATTTAATGCCTCACGCTGTTAATTAACAATTGTATTGGCAGTTTCTGCGCACAGACCACTGGGACCAAAATGAGTCTTGGCACTACCCTTTCAGCCAACAAATAACAAAGTAGGAGCTGTATCAGGGGTGCACAACCCTCTAGGCCAATGATTTTCAGCCATAGTACAGCAGCATTTTGGGGTGCTGTGATAGTTTTTGAAGGGTGCTGCACTCTGGAAAGAGGAGATAGGTGAAAAGCTTAGGTGAGGAGGTAAATGCAGGCTCCTCCTTCCACCCCTCACTGCAGCACAAGCTATTTCCTGCTGGATGCTCCTCCTTCCCCAGCCCCTCTTCAAGCAGTTAAGCACTGTAATACATCAATTAGTTTTTGAAACAGGGTGCTGCTCAACTCAAAAAGCCATAGAGGGTGCCTTAAGTCTAAAAAGCTTGAGAACCATTACTCTATACCACGAGTGTCAAACTCCTCTGGCTCTGTGGGCCAGGTATATGGCACAGGATTTGTTCATGGGCTTGATGAACAGCCAGAACGGCTACTCCCCCCCCCC